ATGTCTCTACTATGCCGCGACCCCACTGTGCTACCGTTTTTTATCTTGTTATTATTGATTACACTATAATTTAACGAATGACTCGAGGGTATAAATGTGTGTATAAAATATCTACATAAATATATTTTTAAATTTAATTGTAATCATCGAAAAAAAAGTATGCCGAAAATCAGATTAATTACTTAGAAATATAATTTATTTAGAAACTGAAAAACTGTTTATAGAAATAATGCATGTGAATAATTAATTATCAATTATTTAAACAAAAAATTATTCAATTTGTACAATCAAACTTTGATACATTTATTTAAATGAACATAAAAAATAATTTTCAAACCTTTATTTTTAGTTTAGATAACTAAATTACATTAATAAAAATTTAATTAAAATCGACCAGCTGCTATATTATTGTGTGATTATTAAATAATAAAACTAAATTGATATACTTCAAAAATTTAATCTAAATATAGTTGATAACATATATGTACTATGTATTTGCACTTATTTAGAATATTTATCGATATTTCAATGACTTCAGTTTTGTGCTGACGTTTCGAACTTGCTGCAGAATTACTCTTCGTTGCTATAGTTACAGGCAGTGGCGCAACTGAGGAAAGTAGTTAGGGGTCGTAATTCTTTGAAACGATTAGTTATGTCAACATTAATTAGTGGTGATAACCTTTTTTTTATTTTGGAGTTACCTCAAGTAGCGATGTAGAATAAAAAATTTTGACCGGCAAAAAAAAAAGTGAATAACAACCCTCAAACTTATTTCTGGTTGCGCCACTGGTTACAGGTTCAAGGTTGTAACTCTATTGTCAGCCTAGCTTGTTTTCTGTTTGTTTTTGTAGCTTTTTATTGATGTTGTTTTTGTTTCTGTTCAGCTTTTTTTTGTTTTTGTTATTCTTGATATTTTACTCTTTCATTACTACTCCGACAATATTTAGACATGTTGAATATTGCATTGTCATATATTGTGAAGCTTTCTTTATTATTTGTTCTTTTTTCGTGGTTAGGTAACTCAGCCATACTAATTATACATCCACCTACTCTTTTGTAGTTGTCTCAATATTGTTCAATTTTTATTGCATCTTTCTACATTCGTTTACCAAAATGAGCTTTTTTATTCAAATTGTTGACCTTGTCATGATGAATTTTGTATCCGTTGTTTTTAACGTATTTGGCTACTGCGAATTTTTCCACTTTTTTGTAGTCTACGTCTTTTTCATATTCTTTTATTTTTGATTCTTATAGCAATTGCTCTTCATGTTTAACCAATACATGACTTGCCACATGATCTATTTCATAGACACATATTGTTTTCCGTTAATTCGTCCTTTTTCCTGTTTTATCTTTGTTGTGCTTATTATAATTTTCTTATTAGGTTTTTCTAAATTCCATGTTTATATTTTTAATTGCGTAATCATTGTTTTAAAGTGATTGTCGTAGATAAGTTTTCTTCTTTTACGTGGTACTCATTAACTATTCTTACAGCTCTTGTTGCCATTATATGCAGTGCAATGATGTGAATTAGTATGTATGTCAGTATGCATGTTTTCATTTATATATTCCTGTGCTGAATTTACCATTTGTCTGTTTCTTGACTAGTTCACCTAGGAAAGGAAATTTTTTGCTTTTCTTAATTTATATTGTGAAATATATGTTAGTATGTATACTATTTAGATTTTTCAAGAAACTTATAAATTGATTTTCGTCATGTTTCCAAAGTATAAAAGTCGTCTACCTAACGCATCCAAATTTAAAATCTCGCAATAAGTTTCTTATGTCAACTTAAATAAATATGCATTTTGTTTTAATTTGATAAATAGTATAATGATCTAACTCTTTAACATATTTATAAATTACAACTTTTGAGCAATTTTCGCCCGCTTAAGTATTTAAGTTCATGTATATAAAATATATTTTTATTAGTTATGTACTTTTATTTAACTAAGAAAATTATCCAAATATGGAAATGACTATATGATAAAAACTTTTGAATTAGTATTTTGGAAATTATTAACACTTTAATATAAAAACTGGAGACGAGTTTCGGGTTCTAAATTTTTTTTATATTATGCATTGCTGCTGCCCTTCTCCTCCTTTAAAGTATACAAATCTTCATAACTTCTGAAAAACTAGTTCAAAAGTTCTCATAGATTAATAATTTTCTTAGTGAAATAATTTTCTGACATTTAAGGTAGTAAAATATGTATTTTAATGAAAAAAAATATATAATTGATACACTTAAAAAGAATAAGGGATGAACTCAAAAATATTTAACCTTTAAGAAATTGAGAATTAAATACTACTCATTAAAAACAAATAAGTTCTGTATATTATTAATTTAGAATAAAACTAATAGCCAATGTTAAATTAATCACCCTGTGTAGTTATTAAGTATTTAATGGAGCGACAAACGGCATTAATTGTAAGCTACTCGAAACTTAAAAACAAGTTGTTCAGTAATTAAATTACTTTTTTAGTATATCCAAGAGAAAAATTTTGTTTGAAGCAAGAGTATTACAATTATATTGTAATGAAAAAATATAAAAAATGTTGCGTTAAAAAACTTCTTTTGTCATTATTTTAAACCATAAAGAAAAATGCACTTTAAACAAGATGAATCAGCTAACAACTAAATAATAAATTTTTTTATGTTTTTGCATTTGATTGAGCTTAATAATACCAACATTAAAGTTAATATTGACATAATAAATTTAATGTCAATAATAATAAAATTATTAAAATTGTTAATTTGTATTAATTTTAATTCCAAATATGTTATTCGTTAATTAAAATTGTAGTTAAAAGAGAGCTCGTTTTTTAAAAATTTTTTTTTTGTCCAATCCTAAAATATACAATCATCTAGGATAAAAATTTTGAACTACTTATTAAACATACCCGTGAAAAAATATATTCTCTTTAATGATTAAAAAAATAATTTAATTGATTAAAATCTAATCAGTTAAAGTACTACTAGTTACTATTTTTATAAAAAAGTTTCAACTTAAATAATGTTGTAGGAATTTATTAATCTAAAACAGAAATAAGTTTTTTTTATTATTATTATTACAAATATTAGTTTGAATATTGGTTCTTTAAAAAAAGTTATATTTTAAAACATGTGAACAAAAAAAAAATAGGTTTCAGAATAGACTCTATATAAGTGCTAGTCCATTGAAAAAAATCAATTTATATTCGTATAGTTATTTATATTAGATCAAAAATATTTATCTGTAAAACAGTAAAAGGTTTTTACACTAACGAATTCACGTAAAGAATTAAACATACGATAGTATTTAATTAATGGGTAAATTAATCTTTGTCAAAAGAAACAACAGCTTAGAAGTTTCGTGGAGATATCTAAGAATTAAGTTGAGTTTTATATGATAAATATGTTCAATAAATTTCAAAGAAATTAATTAAATTCAACTGCAAAGAAATCATTGATAATATATTTCAGGTGTACATAATTTTGAATCATGGTTTGTCTTCCATATTTTAAGGATTGTTAAGCCGAGTTACTGAGAAATAATAATTTCAAATATTTTGTTTCGTTTTCACCTATGAAAATGTACAAAGTATTATGAGGTGCTAAGGATTGTTGTAAAAACAAATAAACTGAGTAGATTAAATAATGTTTTCTTTTTGGACAAATTATATTGTACTAAATGTTTGATAAATTACAAGTTACTGTAAAATGTTATTTTTTTCATAGCTATAGTTTGTATTTGTTTTAGCGACTAGAAAAATAAGTACTTTATACATATGAAGAATTCTAATCAAAAACATCCTAAAATTGAAACAATACATTTTATGTATTAATAAATTCACATCTTGACATTAATAACAGTAGTCAATTAATCTATACTCTGAGAAAAAATTCTAACCTGTATCTTTGTTATTGAGTTTGAATCTTCCTTTCGTGTAATTAGTAAGTTTGGGGTCAGTTCTATAACCTATTTTAGAAATATTAAATATTAGTGTCTTAATAGCGTCCTCAAATATATATAAAAAAAATAGATATTAACTTAGTATACAATTTCAAAAGCCATTTCGCTATATCAGTTTTTATTCATTTATAAAACGATTTTATTGACTTTAAGTAGCCAAATCTTATTCCTAATAAACTATATTTTGCTTATAAATAAGTATAAATAAAGTACCTCTTAAGATTGTAAATACAAAACTGAAGTTGGGCTTTTAACAATTTTGTGCTGCAATAAATGTTTATTCATATTCCTTTTGAGAATACCTCGTAAACACGCCTATTCGTTATACCCACATTCATCAAATTTACTCTTGTTGGTAGTGTTCCAAGATATGCAGTTTCAATCTACTACATCGAAATCCAAGTATACCAGGCCATTTATATAGACTCAATTTTGATTTTAAAAGTAAATTGACTTTTCTAATAATAAAGCACAAGTACATTTTAAATACTTTGTGAAACGAAAAAACTTATTTTTTGATAACTGAATAAAAGTAAATATGATAATAAAACAAAAGTCATACCTTAATTGTATTATTATTAAATTAATTAAAGATCATCTAAATTATTAATGATTCTAGTTATTCCAAAAGTAATATGTTTAAATATTAATTTAATGAAATTAGATATTTATATTGCAGTAGATTAACGAATACAAACATTAGTAGTTGTATTTTATTAAATATTGATTTTACTCGTCAGTTACTAACTGAAAAAGATACTTTGACTTTATCCAAGTTTCATCATTTTAAGATGTCTTTATTATTTACACAAAGCAATAAAATCTTGGGTTGTGTAAAACTATTTTATTGTTTACGAAGATATAACATACTATATTATAGTCAATGATTTTGAGGTTACATTACATGAATACAGTTTTAAGGTCTTTACATTTTGTACAACATTGGTATTCACTGTCATTCTATTATGTTCCACGTGCATGCATATTGAGAGATGAAACACTACAGCAATCCAAATATATAATATTACATTACTATGTTAACAGATGCCAAATCAATAATGACTCTGGAATCCAACAAAGAAGAAATAAGTCCATACTGGTCGTTTAATGAAACAGCTGACATATCAAAATATGAAGATTTTGACCATAAAAAATTTTTAGGTAAATAATAAATTTTAATAACTTTTTCAACGTTTTATTTCTAGTAAATTATCAAGAAAACATTTGATTTTCGTTATCTTATATATTAATGTAAATTGAATTTTCAAAAATAAAGTTTTTCATATGGCATTACATAGCACTTAAAATATTTATAACCTTAATTTATTTTGTCATTTGTGAAAAGTAAAACTATCAAAATAGGTATAATTCAATAATAAAATAAAATGAAGTTTAAAAAACACACACTGTATTCGTCAATCTTATAAATTATTTTATATTTGAAATATTGAACTCAGTTACCCCAATAAAATATTCAATAGAAGTCTCTTAAAAATATGAATTATTTTTATGAAACAATGCATTTTGATGACAACCTAAAGAAAAATATATAAACGTAATTAAAACATGATCACTAATGTAGAAACTATAATTTAAGCAATACATATGTAAATTATCTAAATAAGTTAATTTGATAAATTAAAAAAATATAATACAATACTTTATTTTACCGTAAGTTATCTCATGAGAAGAGGCTTGAGCAAAAATTAATATAACGTAACTGAAAAAAATTTTTTTGGATCTTTTGATTATTTAAGTTCTAGTTAAATTTAGTGTTCAATCAATGATAAGAAAATTTAAACATGTTTTATATTGTTTTAATTTATAATACACGAGTTTAGTTTAATTAATATTTATTATACATTATAATTATAAATATTATACATTCTCTAACTTTTTATTTGATTCTGAATAGTTGTCTAATATAAGGGAATATATGGCTAATTGTTACGGGTCAAATTATTGAAATGAGATATTTTAAATTTAAATTACAACACTGTGCAAACTATAAGGTTTTTGTAGATAAACTAATATTTAAAATATTTGTTGAAAATATTGGTTATGCCTTACGTATATCAGAAATTATTCACCTTTTTGTGTTTTTAATAATGTTTTTGTATGTCAATAATAAAATTAAGAAGTCATTTTGGTTTTAATTTTATAAGATTTATGGTAAGATATTTTTAAACATTTTGTTAATAGATAATACTATTTTATTGTCTATTTTGAAATTATAAACATAATAATGTGTTTTTGTGTGATAATATTGTACACGAAAAAATTTTATATGAAGTTAATTGTCACAATCTCATGAAGACAAATCGTTGGAGTATATTTATTACCCATAAAAATAATTTCATTTTTTTTTTTAGTTAGTTTAATAAATTTAGTATAATTTTATTTTATAAAAAATATATTATATAATTTTTAAGACAGAATAATATATTTATTCAATGTTCATGGAATATCTTTTTATATTTTTTCTAAACTTTGCACATTGTTAACAATAAATTAAAATGTAACTTTTATGTAATTTAACTTCAATTAGAATTAATAGAATTACTTCATAATAAATTTTAAAATTAAGACAATTTCTCTTTGTTTTGCTTTTTAAGTGCATGTAACCATCGTTAGTCTACTTCAAAAAACGCTACAAAAACTTTAATTTGTAAATTTTACAAAGAATAACAAGGATAAATTAAGTATACCTACATGATTATCAGCAGTTTTGTTGTTATTTTATTATTAAAAATATAAAATCATGTACATTATTTTATTTACTTCAAGTATTATTCTTTTATAAAAGTATAATATTTAAATTAACAATAACGGTTTTTTAGGATATTACAAATTTTAATGGAGCTTTAAATATTAAATCGCCTTTTACGTACCTTTAAAGTTCATAAAATAATATTACAATAATATAAATAAACAAAAAATTAATGCGTAAAAATATTTTTACTGTTATTTAAGAATGCCAATAATCTAAATATTTATTTTAAACATGTTATGCGTCTAATATTAGTACATATTATTTTAACTTTTACTGAAGTATATAAAATTTCAAATATATATCAAACTCTCTAGTTACTTGAATTTTGAAACTTTTTAAATCGTTATTTTAATTCTTTTTTTTTAATTTTGCATTTTATTAAATTAAAATTTCGTATTTACGAAGTGTATAATACAATTGAATATATATTCTTAATAAAAATATGTTTTATACTATTATTTATTGATATACATGTATATCAATACATAAAAGCTTATTTTATAATAACTACTAGTTTTTAGTAGTATAGAAAGTATAGGAAAAAGACACATATAATAGTTTTACAAACTGAACTTACTACCTAAACGAAATTCAATTTTAGTTTTGTTTAAATATTATAGACGTACAAATATTAAATTGGTTTAACGGACGTTTAATATGGTTGAGTTATAAAAAACTGTACACATTGGAGTGTGGACTCAATAGGGACAAGTATAGGTGATATCTGAAAGTGATTAAAACTATAAAAAATGTTTCAATTCAAATCTGTAAATAGCGTTTAATTTTTAGAAGGAATTTTGGAATTATTCCAGAAGCAACGTGAACTTTCATTTCCTTATTTATATCCTGATTACATATTTAATGAATTATAAATATTATACGTGATTAAATAATTATTACAGAAATTATATTAAGTATAAAATTTATATTGAATAATTAAGTATTGTAAATATTACGGAGAAATTAAAAAAGTTATGAAGTTTTGTATACAAGGTGATTCTTTTGATATTAACCACCCAATTTCTCTTTAAGTAATAATTCTATCAAGAAAATTCTTTTTAGTATTTTTAAATTTTATAAATTTTTCGAATTATTAATTATTTAATTTAATTTTAATTAATCCCTTATACCTTATAAGGGTGTCAACTTTATTATTAAACTTTATTTTAAATGGTAACAACCATTTGAATTATATTACCATATTCTCTGTCAATTATATACTTATTAAACGTAATTAAAAGATTAAAGTAGATTACAAAGGTTCAAAAATATAATACGAATTTTATTAAAATAGTGATATCTTCATTAAGTGATTTTATTCTCTTATACTAAATCTCTTCAATTTCGATTTTTATTTTAAATAATTTATTATGCAGTAAATTTTATAATTTATAAAACTGTTTTTTTAATATATTCTAAAGAAAAAACCTATTTGATTTATATATTTTAGTACAAGTATTATAACTAATAATGACTTATTTGTATATAAGTTAAATAGCTATTTGCTATGGAATGTTTCTACAATGTATTATTTAGTTATAATTAATAACATTGTTATGTTGAGAATAACTATTAAAGTAATGTACTGTTATTCGATTATAAGTTTATTTTATTATTGAAAATATCTTTTCAAAGATTAAAAAAGCATTTTAAGAATCTTGTTGCAAGTATAGGAGAGATGAAATTTTATAAAAAGTAAAAAAGTATTTGTTCAGCAAGTATTTTCACGGTTTATTTGTTTTAATAGATAAATTTAAGGAACGCTTCTTTCATTTTATTATTTTATCCTTGGTATTGATTTTTATTTAGAGAAAACTCTATTGTAATATAAAAATGAAATTTAACTAATTATTATGCTGAAAAGATATTTGATATTTACTAATATTTATTTTACTTTTTTTTGATATTACTAATAAATAATCAGATATTCATTAAAAGCGTATTAGGTTTATTCAATTCTATTGATAATCAATCAACTAAATAAAATTAACTAATATAATATATTGTAATATTCACTACTTTATACATTTCTTACTTGTTCACATATAAATCAATATCACTTAATATCTAAATTTGTACATGATTTTAATAATATAAGACTAGTATTTTATATTCAATACAAAAGATTGATGATCTTATAACAGACGATATTTTCAAATAGAATGGGATTCGCAGGTTATCGATATATAGTTAACCTGTAACCACAGACTATATGAAAACAGATAGTTCACTTGGCCCGATAACAAAACGGTTTTTTGATTGGAGAAGTGAAATCAGTGCAACCGTATGTATGAGCGCAAAAATTCTTTTAATTTATTTCATTATTAAATCTGCTGTTGCATAAATATTATGAAATTCCGTATATAAACATAATTATTGACATAAATTATTTTAATACATCATTAAATTAAGGTATTAAACCCAAAATCCCTTATTTATGACTCAAAATTGCTAAATTAGTCATGAAAATTAAATAATTATCAGTTTTTATAATGTAAATTATTAACTACTTAAATTTGACTTGAGCAGTAACAATTGTTATTGTTAATATTGTCAATGATCACATGTATCTTATTTCGTGTTATATTTGGTGCTTTCTTTCAAAATATCTCACTACCTCACCAGTATGCGATGCTCAGTGAAGTTTTGTCCAAGTACATATTCCTTCAAAGGTAAAAGCTTTTTTTCTTATCCTAAAGAAAACGATCGTTTGAAACTATGGATGAATAATTGTCAAACTAATCATTTGGCCGAGACTTTATCCAAAAAAAAATAATCTAGTAGTTTGCGCGGATCATTTTGACGATAAAATGTTTTTGATAAAGACTACAAAAAATCGGCTGGTCATGATGCAGTACCTACAATATTTAGTGGTCAGTATTTTTTATCTTCGATGCAAAGCTGAGAAGGTATTAATTTTACTATGATGTGTGTTTCTTTAATTTATTTATTTTTTGTGTGTCTGTTACCTTGTTTTTTTCAGCTCTCACCGAACCGATTTCTTTCAATGATACGTCATAATATCACAAATCGTATCTAGTCGAAGACGTTACCCTCAAAAATTGAAAAATTTTCCTTCATTCCTCATAAGTGAGAGATATCTCCAAAATAATTACAATTTTAAAAATCAGTAATTTTTGACATTTTTTTCTTAACACTACCATAACTTTTTCAAAAATGAAAATTTTATATAGATGTTTGATGTCTTTACCTATCATTTGGTATATCTATTTATAAATTTAACCCTTTACCAGCCCACAGTGGGGAATTCAAAATGACAACTTTTTTACAAAAAATTAACTTTTTCAACTTAACTTTTGAAAGTGTTCCGGAAATACTGACGCTTATATATATATATTAAATCAAAGCTAATGTAATATACTTAATTTTGGGAAAAAAAAATTTCGGACTTTATTTTGTCTTCACGGTGAAAATGGCTACAATTTGGCCAAAAAATGGCTAACAATAATAATAATAATAAAAATATATAATTTATTATATCTAAAATAATTCAAATTTTATAAAAAATATAATACTATTAACAGTTTTACCAAAAATTACAGCTTCATATATTATAGGTAAAACTAACTAAACGTTGAAAAAAATTTATGAAATAATAAACTACACAAAATGTCAACTTTTATACAAATTAAACACAATATTCATAATGTCAGACAATATTTAAAAAAAAAACATTTTTATTAAGACTAAACGTTATTTAAACAAATAAGTATGCGAACAGTTATAATTAATTATCGTTCAAGTATTTAAAATATAATAGTGTCACTAATTTAATATCATTGATAATTTTTGTAACTGATAGAGGAATTATACAATATTATTGTAAAATATTTGCACAATAATATGTATTGTACAACAGTCTCTACTGCTTTGTCTTCTGCCCAATCAGAGAGCTTGATTTTTTTTTCCATTGTTCTCGGCTAAGTGAACTATCTGTTTTCATATAGTCTGTGCTGTAACATTTTTTTTCACTCATAATTTTTAATAACACTCAATCAATGCTGATATCATTTTTTTGATGATTTTTAAAAATTTGTCCAACTTACTATACGAAAATTATTTTTATATATTCATGAACCATACAAATCAGACGGTTTTCCTGAAATAATTTTTCTGGTTTCTTGAATTCTGTTAGTAACAGTTGCCGTAGAATCTATTTTACATTGACAAAAACTAAAATTCAGTGGCTAATATTATATATTTCGTGTTAGCTTTTTGTTTGATAAAAAATTCCATAAGTCACCTCCTGACCTCGTTTCCGGCGGTCCCTAATTATAAATGTATCACAATAATAATCTGGAAAAATTTCAAATAAAATTATCAATTCAAAAAAAAAAAAAAAATAGAAGTAAGTTTGTAAAGATTTTAAATCATTTATACAAACTTTTTATAGTTTCATATGTTTACTGAACAAACATGTTTGTTCATGTTTACATTCTATAAACTAATGTTAAAAATGATAAGCAAATTTTTTCAGTTTTAAGATAAATATTTTTTGATTATGTTAAATTTAGAATTTATATTTAAATGTTAAACTAAATTAAAATAATAAAAATAATGAAAATTTACTAGTTATAAATAAGGGTCGAAAAGATAATATCAAAATACTTGGAATATTGTCATTATTTAGGGAAAATATATGTATCATATATAAATGTATATAGCTACATAATGCTATAATAGGTCATTTAATTAAAATTACTTGGTTAATTTATGATTTTTTGGTTAAAAAAAAAAAAAAATCTAGATAATTCATAATTACAAATTGATTCCATAAAATAAAATAAAATAAATTATTTAAAAAGTTTTTATTATTAAAAAAAAAAAACAGATTGACGCGCAAAAGAAATGTATTCATTTCNAATAAATTATTTAAAAAGTTTTTATTATTAAAAAAAAAAAACAGATTGACGCGCAAAAGAAATGTATTCATTTCAAAGAAAACACTTTTTTACTCGATGATTGTTATCTTAATAATGACTTAACAACGACACATTATTAAGCAGTTAAAAAATTACAGCATAAAGCCATTAAGAGAAAGAATAGTGTCCATATTACAACCATACTTTAATAATAAAGTCAGCTTTTATATAACTGATAATGTAATGCACCTTTAGTAGGTTTTGGTATTGTATTAATTTTCATATTTATAAATTGTAAAAACTAGATTTAATCATTTGCATAATTATTTTTGGATGTTTTTATGAGTTTAGAAATAATTAAAATAGTAAAAATGTTGACTAAATTTAACTGGTAGATGTAATCAATAGTTAAAAATTACAATTAACACCGCACTACACTCCAATGTGTTATTTATAATCATGATAAAATAATTACTTTACGCTCAATTTTAAACAAACTCGTAAGGCTCCATTAAACTTTTATTTCTATTGCTATTAGAAGAAAGAAAGAATATGTGTTAGCAAAAAAGTAATTGAATAACCATCTTTTTTCATTATTCGATTAACTAGAGTACAATTTTATTAGTTTTTGGTCTTTAAATAATTGCCTATTAGAATTGATACTATATTTTTACGATATATAAAACGCCCTAAAGTTTGAGATACTAAATAATTTTTTGATATTTGCTAATTATTAAATGTATTTTAAGTATAATAAAACAAACATAACCTAAAAGCAACATAGCACAAAATAATAAATCTTCTAATGATACAAAATATTATGGTATTTTGTATTAAAGTTATATATTAAAAAAAATATTAAATAATGATAATAATAACATTAAATATTATTTTAATTATAAAATGCATGCGTTTAATGTTTTACACACGAGAGAGGCAAAACTTCTTAACGGTGGTTTAGATAGGTGATTTAAAAAAACAATTAAGATATTAACAATTCAATTTTTAATTAAATATAACTATAGCTTTAAATGAATATGGTTTCACATTCAATTTTTGTAAATAAAGAATCAAATATTTGCAAATAACAGCTTTATGTTAAAATGTCGTTATTAAAAATTAAATCGACAGCTAATTAAAAGATACCTATAAAAATGATATGATCTATTATGATGTCTATATGAAATATTTAATATAACAAATAGTAATATTACAAAACATAGTTATCATTGAGATGTATAGTATAAATTCGTCTACAAGAAATCTACATCAGTTAATATATTTATACATTTTTAAATATAATTAATAAAATACACATACAAATTATATCTATAATCATTAATAGTAGCAAAATATGCTTGTATAAAGCCAAATAGTAAATTAATTATAACTGAATGGCTATTATATGTTTTTATATCATTGTTTTGTTTTTTGTATTTATGAGGAATATCTATTATAACTGGATTTCTTTTAGAATAAAGTTGATTTCTTGTTTTTTTTTCTTTTCATTTCTTTTTTGTTCATATCTTCTATTTCTTTTATGATTTTTTTTTCAAAACTAATACTGTTCTCTAAAACTATAACAACAATTGTACTATAGGCTACTTTGTGAACTCATATACAGTTGAATATGATTTATACATTATGTAATGCTCTTAAAATAATACATTTTTTACAAATTTACCAGTAATAAATTCTTGCGAAGACGATAGGGGTCCTGTTGATTCTCGATTCTTCGAATACCAATTCTTAAGATCTTATTCTCATGTAAGATTTATTTTAATTATGCTAGTCATTCGTAGTAAAATTTTTTTCCTACTCTATATTTCCACTTATATACCATTTAGTATATACATATATATATTGTGCCGTCTACTTCAGCTATAATATGTTCTGCTCACTCAGCGTATACATACATAGTTTTCACCAATACTATAATTTCGATAGCATTAACTACTAACTTCTAAAGTCAATTAATAAAAATTGGCACAGCCAAAGTGTCACACTTGGTACAAAGTCAAACAAGTGGCGCACAGCCGATGACGACCCGTCGCGAACATACGTTGAGTCTTCTTCACGTCATCGAAGTGACGACGTCGCAGGGTTTGGCATGACGGGACACGACCAGCCGATACTACACCAGCGCACTGTCGCCATCAATGCTGTAATTTTTGACGTCCGATGGCCATGACGGACACCGCGTCGCCGACGCCAGAGAAAGTGCCGCGATATTATGTGAAGATTATCATTAATTGAGTCGGTTATTTTCGTTTCTTTTTAAACATAATCTGTTGTTGCTTATCAATTATAAATGACCCACACGTCTCCACCATACAAATCAGTATCGGTTATATTATTGCGATGTTAGTCGTGTCGATATTTTTACTTGACAATCGTGTGTTCCCAGTAACTTAATAAAATTTTTAAATGCGTATAAATCTGTCCCTTAATTTTGGGTTTACAAGTTAAAATTTAGTTGTAATAAATTTTATGTAAGAAGAACAAACAGAAAAATTAAAACAAGATGCAAAAAGCACAATTCAGTTAAATAAAACAAATCCCAAATCAAACTTTGCATAACAATTAATTATGAAATAAATAAAGGCTTAGATATATTATGTAATAATAAATATGTAATAAATAGTGTGTTTGAGGAATACAAATTTATAAAGAAATTAAAACAAATAAATGTAATAATATATTAGACATGATTATTAATACAATGTATTATAAATGTTCAAACTGATATCAAAAACAATACTTTACAATATTTTTCAAGAAATAATGATAACAATAGTAAAACAAACTTTTCCAATAATTTTATTTTTACATCATTAAAAAAATTTAAATTTTATTCAACAATACTCTATGTTATAAAATTTACATAACCCATAATATTTTACTTGTGAAATTTTGTGTATAATTTCATCATGTATCATTTTTTAATGTTGTTCGTGTGACTTATTTTTTATTATTTATAGAGTAACTTAAAGATGGTATGTAACCGAAACTAGTAATTACTACTGTATTTGTAATAATACTCAAGGCTACGTTTGTGTCATTTATTTTTATTTAGTAAATAATAAATATAAAAATAAAATATCTGTGGATTCTGCTTTTTCATATGAGTTTACAATTAATGGTAAAAATGATAAACACAACAAATTTATGTTTCAATAATTTTAATAATAAACTTGTTTTAATTGTCAAACTGCAAGTGGGCTTTTTATCGGCCTGCAACAACAACGTGGTTTGGCACTTGCATAACGACTAGCTATGGCAGCAAGGAATTGCCACTACCTAGGTGAGGTGTCATGCCTATCAGATATGATTACCGGACCATAGGTGGAATTTAATTTTAAGTTAATATGCCGTTATATGTATAAATGATTACAATACCTCATGGTTTATAAACCACAGCTATGATAATTGAAGTTGTATGTGGTTGATATGTAAAACATATCGTAGCCCGTGTCTAGATTAAGAAACAGGGATAAAATACACGAGAGTACTTAAGTTACTGGCGCAATAAAATAAATATTACAGTTAAAATTAATAAGGAAATTTAATTTAATTGTTAAAAAGGAAAATTAAGTTAAACATGGACAAAAATACGAATGTATCAAAAACCATGTCCAGAATATAGGCAACAAAAATAAAATAAATTATTTAAACAAAAACAAATAATATCACAAACATCAACGACGGTATTGGAACACATCCGTTAATGATAATCGGAAATTAATGAAAAACACCAGGAGCGGTCTGGACACTCGCTCCTTTGCGTTGGCTAGAAGAAAAGAGAAACACGTGCTCTATACACATAAACAAAAAAAAGTTAATTTATAATAAAATAAAATAATTAATAAAATACAGCTCATAACATAAATATAATTATAAAACAGACAGTGATACTTGGCCTACGAAGAGATCCATTCGATGGTCTGGATGCTTCGCCGAGAAGACCTGACTGTTCGCNAATTAAGTTAAACATGGACAAAAATACGAATGTATCAATAACCATGTCCAGAAATAAAGACAACAAAAATAAAATAAATTATTTAAACAAAAACAAATAATATCACAAACATCAAGGACGGTATTGGAACACATCCGTTAATGATAATCGGAAATTAATGAAAAACACCAGGAGCAGTCTGGACACTCGCTCCTTTGCGTTGGCTAGAAGAAAAGAGAAACACGTGCTCTATACACATAAACAAAAAAAAGTTAATTTATAATAAAATAAAATAATTAATAAAATACAGCTCATAACATAAATATAATTATAAAACAGACAGTGATACTTGGCCTACGAAGAGATCCATTCGATGGTCTGGATGCTTCGCCGAGAAGACCTGACTGTTCGCCGTTGGCGGCTCTACTCCATCATTGAAAAAAGTGACAATAAGACAACAAACATGTGCACTCTAGCACAGTCAGTGACAGAAGCAGGATGGAGAAGAGCCAATACCGATCTAACGGCAATTTCAAATCGATAACGGCCAGTCTTTTTGGGAGGGATCAATACCGATAAACAATTCGATTTTAATTATATTTATTCTCTTTTGTCGCCTTATTTAGCGAAGAGCGGCAAAATAATAAGTTGTTGACACCGCTGTGTCAGAAAAAAGTTCTTTCGCGCGATAAATTAAATAAGTAGACATAACAAAAAAGTATAAACGGTCCAGCTTTGAATTTGTGACGTTACAAAACTATTGTCAAAAATGTATCAAAGAAAATTGAAGTAATAATTTTTGTAATAATAAATTAATAATCATAATCAAAAAATACAATTCAATGATTATCAAGATCAAGATTATGATTTTTTTTTACTATAATTATTATTTAGTTAATATGAAAATATTGACCAAATATACTTTTTAATAGCATGCATTTGTCAATTGAATGACAATCTTTCAATAAATATTTGTAAAACTTGTTTACTTCGCATATATAGTTTTATATTACTAAACAATCATTTCTTGAAATATTTATGAACATTTTCCGGTATCTGAAATTATTGTTATACTGTTTACATTTCAATATATTAATTTTTATATTTGTCAACAGAAATATTAAGAAAAACAAAGTAAATTCATTTTACACGCATCAATTATAAAATAACTTTCAATATGAAAACATTTAGTACTTAATTTGAAAAAAAAAATGTAATGTTGTGTATATATTTTATTGTCAGTTATTTGAACTCGGCCATTAGATTATTAGGAATTGTCATAAAATAAAGTGTCTATTAGTATAGGTTCTTATTTGATTTAGATTTTTAAAGAAATCTTACATCTTACTAGAAAAAATGTTTGGAGTAACATTGTTTTTTTTATCTATCTTAAATACTTACCATTTATAAACTATAAACGTCTGCCTACCGTAAAACAACGGACAATAAAAACTACTATTAATAAATCAGATATTATTTAGTAATTCTTCAAGTAAAATAATGAAAAAAACCCAGCACAGTGGAGACGTGGCATAGTTGAGTCTAGTATAGATTTAATCTGACAGTTTCAAATCACTATCATAAAAACACTTCGATGCAAATCTGTAGATAGTGTTTAATTCTAAGAAATTGGTGGATAATCACAAAATCAACTTCTATTTCCTTAATTATATCCAGATTAGTAATTCTTAGATTCAAAAATATGACATATAATTTTTATATTTAATTGTTTTCAAATTATTATTAATTTTGATTTTTAATATGTTAAAAATAATCATTTTTAACCTACTTATTTTTGTCCTATCAAGGGAAAGTTTATAAAAAAAAAAAACTGAATTTATTTTAGTATAATTTTTAACTTGCATAAAAAGATCTTTTCAATTGAACATATTATAATTGTAAAAATCCATTGTTAAATTCAGGTGATACTAAAAATCTTTTTTTTTTTAGATTTATGATTTATATCAGAATATGTTACAAAAAAAAAATTGGAATGTTATAGATTGGTAGTAACACACACAAATAGAGTTAAAAAATTAATAAACTACAAAGTAAATTTAATTATTTTTGAAGCTGAATACTTTTATCGTATCAAATCTAATTCGACAATAAATACTTTAAAAATATTAGATATGAATCATTTTAATTGTTTGTAAGGATAAAGTTGTTTAAGGTACTTGATTAAGGATTTTTTTTTTAATTTTTGATAGTAATAACTTCAACTAAATACGAATTGAAATCATTTTTCAATTCAAATCATTTTGAAATCAACGTATTGTTGAAAAAAATTGATTAATTGAGGGTTGGAATAATAAATCGCAGCCAGAAAAAAAAACACATAGTAAAATAATATTTACATGAATAAGAAATTTCTTCTCATGAGGGGAGACTACAGTGATGGGATCCTTGATATTTATTGAAGTTAATGAATCTAAATGAGATAAAAATCAAATTATTTGAACATTTTTTCTAACTTAAAAAAAATGCAAAGTATTAATTGCCACAGGCGTATTCTAACCTGACTTGTAAGACACAAGTGTTACCGATTCGACAACTGTACCGATTAATATAATTGGTAATCTAAGCTAATTAAAATTTTAATGTTACTTTTGAAAGCAAAAAAATTTAAATAAGTTTAACTTCTTATGTCTTATGAACTTTATTCTAGAAAATAATATAAGCTTTAATTTAAGATTAAATAAAAGTGTCGATATTTCCGTAAAATTTTCAACAATTAAATTGAAAAAGCTTAACTTGTGTGCCAAAATTGTTTTTTTGAATTCCCTTGAGGGCAGGTTTAGAGTCAGATTTTCAAAAAAATTATATCAAATGAAAGGGAAATATCTAGAATTTCAATTTAAAAAAATTCAGTTGATTTGTTAATTTTTAAAAAGTTATGGTAATTTTAAGAAAAAAAGTGAAAAAAAAAATGAAATTTACTGATTTCAAAAATTGTAATTTTTTTGAAAATTTCCCTCATTTACGGGGAACGAGGAAATTTTTTTTAATTTTTAAGGATAATGGCTTCAATTAGATACAATTTGTAATCTTTTGACATATTGTTCATCAAAATCGGTCCAGTGAGAGCTAAGAAAAAGTGGCAACAAACACACAAAAAAAAAATACACATCATGGTAAAATTAATATCTTCTCAGCTTTACATCGAAGCTAAAATGAAATTATAAAATGAAATTATAAAAATAAAGTATAAATGGTATCTGACAGTGATTAATATCACTAAAAAATGCTCCGAATTCAAATTGTATTTTATCCTGAGCCATTGGTAGCTTGAACACTTTTTTTTTTTTGAACGAGCAGTTCCTTTTTTTTTAATATACTTACTAGATTGACATTGAAAACTGCAATAAACTTACTTAAAAATTATAATTTATAATGGCTAATAAGCACACGATTTTTGAGAACTATATTGCAGATCAATTTAAAGTGAAACTATTGATTATTAAATAAATTAATATATAGAGTGTTTACTAAGTAAAGAATCGGGTTTCTATTGTTCTCATTGTTTGTAACAATTAACCTGTTTCCTTACTTACTGAACACTTGTATTCTAAATAATATATTATAGTATGGTACATTTTAATATAATACAGTATATAATATATTTATGTTGTAATATATACTAAAGGAACAACAGATTACGAATAAGAGGAAACTTCCTTAAACACTTTGACAAGAATGGCAGAAGTTTCAAACATTTGTAAAAGCTATAATATTTATATAGTTCACAAAAAAAATAAAGCTGTGTGTAGTTGGTAGACATAGTACTTTTCCATTTTAACACTATTCATATTTTTTAACTTAGAAATGGTATTACACAAAACATTTGTAACAAGTAATGTGATATTATTGTGTTCTGATTTATCGATTCTCAGTAAGCTGAAATATAAAATATGAGTCTGCATGCATAATAGAATATAACAAATGGAATGTACAAATAAATTAAAGTAGTAATATTTAGTTTTTTTAATTATTACAACAAGTACATAAAACATTAATTTTAAATATTGTTAGCAACAAATAATAAATTTTTATTATAAATAAAACAGAAAAGTATTTTTAAGTGTAAATTTTTAGTTCTAAATGGAAATAAATAACTATTAATATTATTAATAATACAGCATTACAGCGTCAAGATTCACCAACACTTAATTTGAGCATCTTAATAATATAATCAATATATTTTTAAATTACATCATAATAAGTTTAAATAAATTGTTTATTTATGACGTCGCACTCGTACACGGGCAAATTATTTTCATATCACAGGCTTGTTAATTTTATTTTTCATTTATGGGTAAATGAAACATATGTTATAGTTTTAATATGATCACAATCAAAATATTAATTATTAATATATATTTTATAGGTATAAAATGATTTCATTAATATCAAATTTAATGGAAGTAAATTTACTATAAATCTAATATGTTCCCTTTAAAAATAAAACGGATAACTTTCTAACAACTCTCATAATGTCTATCGATTTTAATTTTACGTCATAGATGACAATTTTATCAACAATCTTCATTATTATCACTATACAGTAAAATAGATTTTACAATTGATTAAGTAAACGTTTCCGGATACAATATTATTTTTATTTTTTCAGTATTAGCTAATGACAAATCCGGAACTATAAAACGTCTTCATTAAATACATTTCATTTTCACAGAGCACGAACTCCATCTTCATGTATCCGATCCAAATATCATAGACGTCCGGCCTCCAATGAAACCGCGTTCTACAACTACCTCCACAATGGCGCCGGTCACACAGGCACCCGAACCTATTATCCACGTAGGCACATCCAATATAACGGTTCAACTGGGAAGCACTGCTTTACTCCATTGTGATATAGCCAATTTATCTGAAAGAATGGTAAGACAATCATTATCTTATTTATGGCTAAAGATTAATGTATACAAATATAAACACAACGCAACACATCAGTATACCTCAGTACGTGATTCGGGGTGGCACGTAAAAAAATTAGATTTCCACCGACACTTTCTTTTTACTTCAGCCTTATCACATTGATCCCATCTTTATGTATATTTTTCGAAGCGGACAAAATTGGAAAAGACATTTGAATAAAGTTACTTTGCAATTCTAGACGCTTTAACGTGTTCTAATTTTTTTTGTTTATAAAAATAGTAGTGCTTAACCTTTTCTCCTTTGTAGATATCACTACAATTTCATATATATCTTGCTACACTTTGTTTTAAACTAAAAGTTTTATGCCCATATGGCTTCAATAATATTCGTGTTCATAATGTTACAATCAAATTTTCTAAAAGAAATGTTACAGGAACTTTTTCGAAACCACAAAATATCTACGATTTCCTCCTTAAATTTCCTTTTAACTTCAAAATAATATTATCAACCGCTTTAGTTTAGTCGAACGACGCATTGAATACTGCAAAGTTTGAAGCCTTGTGATTTCATCAAATAATCCGTTTTACTTTGTGTGAACTTTGAGTTGTTATTAATATTTTGATTAGATTAAAGTCTACCTTATTACAATTTTCAACAGACTGTACTATGTTGAATATAGTTAGTGACACAAGTTTTTTATTCAAGCTGAATAGATTTTATAATTGAGACTTTCATGCATCAGAGAACATTGAATAAAAAATTATTATTTCCCAGAGAAGTAAGAGAAATGATGCTTGGAACTTTTAGTGGAATTTTATATATTTTAAAATTGATTTATAACTATGTCGTTTCTTTTTTACACTTGATAGTAATGTTTCAAAATTAAAATAATAAATCAAACTTAATAAGGTTGTTTATATTCAATTAACGCAAGTAACTAATACAATATTAATAACTAATTCCGAATGGAATTTGCGGACACAGATTAATACAATTATAACACCAAAAGCGTTAGATGTATTCTCATACAATCAGTTAATGTAATTTAAGTAATTACTCATTACCTATCACATTCTGATAATATTTATCCCATATATCTTAATCGAAATATTTACTATACAGTTAATATTAATAATAACTTATTATTTAGTTATTTTTTATTCGATTACAATTGTATATTCTTATGAACTCGATATATTTTTTTCGTGAAACAACTAAAGAAAATCAAATTTTAATTTTTTTTCAATTAATTATTGATTATTATATACTTTGTTATTCTATTTTTAAATTGTGTTCATAATAAAACTGTAAAATGTTGAGTTATCTTTGTATTTTTATTTTCAATACTAAATATATTGAATAGAATTTCATGCTACATGATTAAAGAGCATTTTAACATTATTTATAATAATTAGCCGTATACATTAGACAAGAAATCGTTAAAATACAGTTTGATACATTTCTAAAGTTTTAATCATTAGTAATTGTACTCACACCCAAACCATTAAATATATTGCAATGATACAACATTATGTATAACGTTAATGACCAGAAAAACATTTAAGTTGTCGTCAAGTTATCCATTATTTGTAGTTCATGACATTAGTAGGACATGCAAGAAAAATAATACTGAAAACATTATCTGTACTCGCAATGTCACATAAATGATAAAACTTAAATTACAGAGAGACTTGAAAACTATATTATAGTAATAGCAAATATTATACAATTTTTTTTTAAATGAATTTTTTCATAACCTAAATTTATTATATATATTCGAGTACTTTATCAAAAATATGATTTGTACCAACTAAAAATATAACGGACATTACTACTGAAACATCTAAAAAGTTTTGAGTAAAAATTCAAAATGTTTTCTTTAAAAAGTTTTTTATGAATCCTAAATGTATTATTCGTTGTAAATTCTCAGAATGACAAATGCAGTATGTTACACCACAAAATATACAATATATTTAGTACTATTTCAAAGTTGTTACCAAATTTTAATTAACATTATTTTTTATCTAATTAGTTAATTGTTATAAACAGGGTTCAATTCAGAAAATAAACATGGATAAGCTTAATTAGATAGATAAATAAAAAAGTAATTTAGAAATTTGTGAAGATATATTATAACTGAAAATTGAAATTTATTGATTTCAGTAGATGTACTTTATAAGAATGAAACTGCTCTGAAATAAATTTACTGCAGTGAAAGTGGTTAATCATTTGAAATCCATTTGTGGTTTAATACTATATTTCTTAAGTTACACTTTTAAAATATAATAAACTCAAGAAGCTGCTAAATCAAGGAAATACTAACAACTAATTTTTCTTTTTTATTTGCCTGAGGATATAAAGCTAATATTTTAGTATTTGTACGACAGCTGAGTGAGAATAGTTGTTATTAGTTTGTTTTTCTTACATTATACTGACCATTTGTTATCAAATTATACTTCCATTTAATTTGTATGTATAAATAAAAATGTCATCTACATTTGTTATCAACAAATTAGCTTGTTATTTCCGCTAAAGTCTAACCTTTTAAATAACACAGGAAAATAGGATTTTTACATAAAATCGTTAATTTTAAGAAAAATTAATATATATTTTTAAAATTATTTTTGCACATTCTAAAAGTTGCACATTTATTGAAACAAAATTTTTACCTAAAATATTTAATTTATTATCCTTTTCAATTTTCCAAACAATTTAGAATTTCATTAATAGCGAAAATTTTATTAATACCAATTAATAGATAAAAATTGATTTTTATAATTATTAGACTCATCTTTTAAAAGTGTAATATATTAAAAACGAGAGTGTATTATTTACCTTGTGTAATTAACTTTTAAAACTGAAGAGGTTTTTGTTTATGTTAAAATTTGGTGTCGTTAATTTTTAATGCTATCATTAACTGTTAATAATATGCAAAAACATTAACAGTATTTAATTAAATTAATCTGAAAACTATTCAAGATGTAGATAAATAACCTTAATAATTCAGCCAAGTTGTGTCATTTAGTTATTTGGTGTCAATGTAAACACTTTTAAATAATCCAATTAAATTTAAAAGTTCACATGATTAATTATAATTATCTTAAAATACTCATATAAATGTACCATGTGTAAAAAACAAATTTTGAAAATAAATTATAATTTTACAGGTTTCATGGGTGCGTAGAAGAGACTGGCATATTTTGAGTTCAGGTTTACTTACATATATCAAAGATGATCGTTTTCGGGTGTTTCATTCGGAAAAAAGTGATGACTGGGATTTACGTATATCTCCGGTTGAAAAAATTGACAATGGAACTTATGAATGTCAGGTACCTAATAATATATACTTGTTTATATTAAAATATTTTAAAACTTCTTTACATATGCAATATAGTAACATGGCTATCCATGTGCCAAAACTTATGGAATAATTTATATTTTAGTCACAACTTGTACAAAAATAAACAACTAAAAGAGAGTTTTTCTTACTTGGTTTTCTTATAAAAGCCTTGGTTAGTTATAATTCTATGAGAATCGCCAACTAGAATTAATCTACATAATAAATAATTTTTTAACCGAAACAGCTTAATACTTTTTAACTGTATAATTGAATTTCTAGAATTGAATATCAAAACAAGTATCAACGTGAACCTGCGTAGTATTTTTATTAATGCTTTTTAATGTATTTATATTTTTAAGGGTCGATACGTACACCCACAGAAAAACCTCGATCTATATAATAAATTCATTGTTCAATTTGATAAATATATCATTACTATTGAATCTATGATATATTTATCAATATGATAATTTTTTTTCTTGTCTTGAACAATAATTATTCATAAAAATAGTTATTTTGTTCGTATTAATAAAACATTATCATAAACCCTTGATAAAATTTCTCTATCAAAATTGATTGAGGTTTTTCTTTGGGTGTAACAGATGAAGTTACTCGGCTCGTAGGTAGGCATATACTAACGTTGGAAAACCATAAAAACCTAGAAGCAAGCCAATTATTTGACAATTCTGATGATCTAAGACGTTTAAACGCGTGAACTATATGACTTTGTTTAAATTAATAAATATTTATGTATATGTATACATTTTAATTATTATTTTTATCATTAAACATTAAGTCAGTGTTCGATTCATTGGAAGTGTAATTCCCATTCACGTCTGTAATTGGATGAATAATATATTGCTATATATTATACAAGAGTATATCGTAATTGTATATTTATGAATAACATTTAATTTAATTGATTTAAATCTAATATCGTCTTAATAAAAAAGTGCCTTAGGCCTGTTTAACGAAAAAAAATTAATTTAAGCCCTTTTTCTGAGACCATGGATACAAACGTATATTGAATTTTAATTTTTTATTGTTAACATACCTTCCAGGATTTGAATTTGATGAGTATGATTGAACAATAATTATTTATAAGAATAGTTATTTTGTTCGTATTAATAAAACATTATCATAAACCCTTGATAAAATTTCTCTTTCAATACTGATTGAGGTTTTTCTTTGGGTGTAGTTGATGAGTTTTAATGAGTAATCACTAAACATGATTACTCTGCACTTATTGGACAGATTATATTTAATGATACGCCAAAAGATTTCAAAACGTATTTAATTAAAACTATATGGTATAATTTTTTTGAAAATCATATTATTAACCAAGTTAATGGGCTGTTTCAAATAATATAAAAAATTTTGATTATGTTTCAAAAATCCATCTATTTTACCAACATCAAGTCAAAGCCAATAAAAAATTCTTTGAAATTATATAAAAAAAAACGGTAGCACAGTGGGGTCGCGGCATAGTGGAGACATTGCATAGTAAGGTCCAGTATAGATTTAATCTGACAGTGATTAAAATCACTATCATAAGAAACGCTTCGATGCAAATCTGTAGATAGTGTTTAATTTTAAAAAATTGATGGATATGCAAAAGCAACATCAACTTCTATTAAAATAAAATACAAAACCCATAATTATCATATAAAAATAGTATATTTTTCAATATGGTAGCCATTTGCGTATAGAAGATAGATCGTCGGGACAAATTTTTTTTTTTCATTTTGTAGTACATAAAATAAGCTTTAATTTTATATATGTTTAAAGGACGCAGTATTTCCGGAACATTTTCAAAAATTAAGTTGAAAAAGTTATTTTTTGTAAAAAAGTTACTATTTTAAATCCTCCCAGTGAGCAGAATAAGTGTTAGATTTTCAAAAAAAATTATATCAAATGAAAGGGAAATATCTAAGGTTTCA